TATAAGCCTGTCCCAAACTAGGACCTCTTGTCCCTTTTGCAGCTACCTGCTGCTGTTGGCCTTCTCTGGCCAGCCCCTCTCCTACCTTCCCCAAGATGACACACCCCACGCATTCCCGTGGTCCACACATCTCCTCAGCTGGGACTCTCTTTCTGCAGATGTTTGTCCCCAGCCAAGGTCCCCACGGCCAGAAGCAGCATTTGGAGCTTCTCTCTTGTCCAAAGGGGAATTTGCAACTGAGGATAGCTGGAGGAAGGAGAGTGTAGCTGTCTTGGAACACCATACAGAAGTCATAGCAGAAGAGAGTTGTATCATGCTGATCCACTTGCTCATTTTAAGTCACCCCGACCTGTACGGAAAGCGTGTTGCAGACACTCCAGGACAGATCTCTCCTTTTGCTACTCGCTGTTAGGAAGCAGAGTACCTTGGGGCCTGCCCAACAGCCTGTGCAGATGTGCTTGGCAGCATGCTAACGCTGGGAATGTTCTGGATGGCGCGCTCTAGCAGGGCATCTCCAGACGTATTACAAGGAGAGCAGGAAAGTCTGTTCCTGAGAACACTGTTGAGGCAATCCTTAACCAGCCACGTTGCCATAAATAGCAAACCTTTAGTCATTAATGGCACTTAATCTCTAGGCCTTTCTTGGCAAGGTCACAAATACAGAGAAACTTTTTATAGGATGCAATAATGTGAAATAATGAAATAAGGGGATGAGTTACCTATCCACGCTTGAACAAGTTCTGAAAAATATAGTCTCAATATGCTATACGGTATAGGGACAATGCAGACACAGCTGGTAAAGTTCCTTTACATCATCACAACACTTTTGGAGGTAAAATACTGGGCTTGTGTTCTCTTTGGAAAATAAAACAGTTGCACCTCAAAGATCATAAAGAGTTGCTCATTTGTGTCTGGGTTTGTGGTCCCAGGGCTGTTGTATCGGCATACAGATTGATGCATGCTTGCCCAGAAGATTATCTGGTAGGTTTAAAAAAAGGCCTCTAAAAGCCATGTCCTAATTTATGACAGCAAACATCTAGGGGAAATGACTACAGCCTTAAATGCAGTATAATCTGATCATTTGTATGGCTTTTATCTTATTTTAGAATTCAGATTCATGTTCTTGTGATAGATACCACAATCTTCCATATACTCACATTGAAAAGGAGGGAATGTTAATGCTGTTGACACAAGTCCTGTTTCAAATTTCTTGTCAAGTCACAGAAACACAGAGCCCAAGTCTTCAAAAATTTGTGGTATAATTCTTTTGAGTAATTCTCGAATATGCTCTTAGTTGTATCCAGCAATAATTACAGAGAGCAGAAGGAGGGTGAGAGGGAGGATTGGAAAAGGGAATCTTACTTATAAAAAAGGAACCTGGGCCTCTGGTCTTTTCCTGGCTCTTGCTGCCATCTGGTGTCAAGCACGATGAGGTACACGGCTTATTTTGAGTCTGCGTCAATCTTCTCCGAGACTGAACTCCGCCTGCGTAGACAGGCTGGATAAATAGTACAGAACCACCCCTCCAAGGGGCAGCAGAGGAGGATTTGACACAGCAAGTTGATGAAGAGTTCCCGTGAAATTAGTTCTCAAGTATTTGAGGTAGCATCACTTCTGCTGAATTAACTGCTTTACATGGTTTTAAGTGTGGTCTCTACAGACATATCAAAACATTGATCTTCCATACAAAGGGCGCAGGCTTCTGTTCTTCACTACTGCTGTGGTACAGTAGTTGCTGTTGTATTTCAGGCTTCTTTTCCTTTCACTTAAATGGGTGCACAGAAGGCCTGATTCCTAACTAAAGCAACACTGGTGTAGGGAGAATCATCTCAGTGTAAAACTCATCACTGTAACTGTGCAAACCAAGTGTGAGTATGACACACAATGTATAAACTCAAGCTAACGTAGCAGTCATTGGCATAGGCTATAAGCTGCTGGAACAGGAGGCACATACACCATTATTTTTAGCATCTTAATAGCTTGAATTGTGCTAGGAAATTATTTCTGCTCTACTGTGGGAGATCTAATCCTCCTCAAACAGGCGAGAGTTTGTAGCTCTTTAATACAGTGGCATAAGGTGCTCTCAGCTGAGTGCACTCCTCCAGTTTGTTTGTTCCGGATGTTGCACATGGCTTTGAAGTGTGGCAGATTTTGTTTGCCATTGTTGTTACAGCAGGCAGACAGCCGATAGTGGGCGCAGAAGACATTTCAGAAGCTCCTGATCTTTGGGAAGCCTGATCAGGCTCCCTTCATTTCAGAAGCTCCTGATCTTCCTGGGAAGATTGTACGAACTGAAGAGTGATGTGACAGACTACATTCATTGTCATTTTGGTGCAGGACAAGCAGTAATCCAGAGATCGAATGGATTACATTGTCTGGGAGATCTAGCTGACGCTGCCAGAGACTCTTGAGGTGTCACATCACTGACACTGTCCTTCTGATGCCTGGAGTTCGTGCAAACAAAGGAAGCCATGCCAACTGCTGTAGATCCAAAACCAATGTGCTGTTGGAAAGTTGCCTGTCAACGCTTTAGCAACAGGATCAGGCTTGTCAAGCAATTACTTCATTCACAGGTAATGAATAGAGCTGAATTAGCAGCTGGCTTTGAGAGGATGGGAAGAAGCTCAGGAAAAGAAAGATCTCTCCCTTATTTAAATTACTTCATACTGTCACAGGTTGACATTTTATATCTAGTCAGAACGTCTAGTTCACACCTAGGCATTAGAATATGCAGAATTAAAACCATAGCTTCGGGTCACAGATATTATGAGGAATAGTCCGTATTTCATTGGGGGGGGCCAGGGTGGGATTTTCTGCAGGGCTGCTTAACAGCGCTGGAGGAGAGCCTGAAGCCTTTTATGACTTTGTCTTTGGCAATATTTCATGCTGGGAAAAGCTCTGAAGGATTGAATCTACTGGAACACCCTGCTCTGAAGAAGGAGCAAAGCTTTGCAGGTTGTCATAGAAAACAATCACAAGCTATCAGCAAACCAATAAATGGAGAGGGCTAGTAAACAGGGATGACAGCCAGGATGGTACTAAGGCTACCTCCCCTTTTTCATACGTATCAGTGCTAAAAATCAGTATTACCTATTTTGTAGTACTGATTGTTTTAGTCTTGGGCTAAAAATCAGTACCCCTACTCTGAAGACCTTTATCAAGAATAGCTTGTTGGGACCCAGCATTGTACTCTCATGAATGTTAAGAAAGGAAGCACATCTGAAGCCACTGCTGCCAAAGCATATTTATTTCAAATGTGTTCTCCCATCTCAAGTATTTTTTAGACATATCTCTAATTCACAAATAAATCAGTTTTAAAAAGTTATGCAGAATTTGTTATACAAAGCCACAGAAATGGTACAGTAGACATACCTCTCAAGAAATAATGATGATCCCACATCATTTACAGCAATAAAGTTACAGTGAAATGCTCAAAAGTTTCTATCCTTGTCATTGGGAATTTAAAAAGTAAAACTAATGTAAGTCTGGCTTTTTGACAAGACCTTTAAACAGCAGGCTCATTAATGTTGATCATCTGGCATTAGATACAACTTCAAATTAAATATTTCTGCAAAAATCAACTGATATAAAGGACTGAAATTTATAACAAGAGTTCTGTTGAAACTTCAAGATAGAGAACACCATTTTCCAAAATAAAAATAGTGGGACAGCAGTACAAAAAGCCAGGTTTTCCAAAGCATTGCTGTGTCTTGACTGGACCACCAATGAGACAACTTTCTTTAGGAAACTTTGGACACAGAAAAATCAGTCTAAAACCTGATCTAATCTGATCTTTTTCTTAAAGTGCATTAATTATTTGAACAGTACGCTCATACTTTTAACAATCTTAAATACAAAAATTTGAAGTTTAGAACAACTGACACCAAGAATGAAATTACTAATATTTCTTAGATTTATAAACCCTTTCGGTTTAGATATATATATCTTCTTTTGTGCCTGTACACCCTATAACACAATGGAAACCTGATCCTGGTTGGTCACTGCTTTCATAACTTACAGAAAATGATGCAAAAAATCTGGACTATGGGCTTATTTTTTTGCCAGCTGAGTTACTGAAAACTCTCTTGGATTTTAATGATTCCTTAGACTTTGAAACACACTCATCCATGGAGAAACCCACCAAAATTAACAGGAATTATAACTGCCAAGAATAAGATAGAGGACCTAGTATCAGCTGATTCCAATGGTCAAATGCAAATCATACTCTTTCTTAACTTAGCGTAAGTCCATTTGGTGATAGAAGGTATGCTCAGAACTTATTTCTGGGAGATGCACACATTTTCTGGCACAATAACTATTATTTTTGCAACTGTAATGAATTTGCAAGTGTACTGGCCATATAAGATGCTAAAGAAGAGATTGTGTTTATCTACCATAAGAAAGGTAGAACGATGACTACAAAAACAATGACAGCCAAGTAATAAAGGCTTTAAATTAGAGCCAAAACTACAAGCAACTAAAAAAAGTTTGGAAATGTGTGAACTACACTACAAAAACTGTAACAAGGTAAGGAAATGGATACACTGATGACACTGAAGAAAACAACAGATGAGATAGAGAACGACTGGATAAACAGTAATGCCTTCATCTTTTTGGGTTCAGGAGCAGATGTGATGATGTGGTGTTAAGACAGTGAATTTTGTTTTGTCACTTACGGAACTAGATATTTTTATTTACCTAGACATCAAAGGGTCTCTTGCTATGCCTTCCAGTGTAGTATAAAAATTGAAAATATTAGTTGCATGTATTTGCTTCTTTTTATAGATCTTTATGTAATCATGATGTTAAATAAAATACTTAACAGTAAGAGCTTACTTAGAATGCTGGTCCCATCTCAAAACACTACTTAGCAGTCACACCAGTATTGAAAGACTACCATCTATTTATCTATCTTTTTATGAGGTTCAAGGTGTAGAACAACCACCACATGGGAGTATGAGACAACATTATATAATTACATTTAAGGTGAAGTTTGGTATTTAGTTAGTTGCATCATCCCTTTTCAGAGGAATTATTTGAAGTGCTTTGGCTATTCTCTCTCCTATAGCTCGACTACTTGCTGCAATTATTCTTCGAGACATCAAATCAAATGGCCCACCTAGAAATCAAAGCAAGCAAAGTAACTAGCTTATATCTGGAGAAAATGAAAAGTTGGTAAGAAAATGAGGATTGAATAAATCAAGTCTAAATGATACATTACTATTTAGAACCAAGTTTTGCCCCTGGATAAACATGCATTTAACAAAACAGGTATCGCATATGAGCTACATTTAAATTCTCTTCAGTGTATGCTTACAGTCTTTTTTCACTCTTCCAGGTGCTCAGCCAAGGGAGTAAAGGCTGTCTTGTAGCTTAAGAAGATACAATTCACTCTCTCTTTGACTATTAACTGGATGGGAACTCTGTTCAGTAGTGGTAACTTGGAAAGAGGATTGCAAAACCTCTTTGCCTTCTCATTTCAGCTACGTTTTTGTTCCCAATTACGTATTTAAAAGGACAAAAGAGTATCATGCATGCCCATGTATTTACCTGATACATCTAGCAATACTCCGCCTGCTTCAGTAATAATGATTCCAGCCCCTGCCATATCCCAGCAGTGAATCCCCATTTCATAATAGGCATCAGCTCCACCTGTTGCCACAAGGCACATGTTCACAGCTGCTGTACCAACAGCTCTAATCCTAAAGGAGACATAGTTGTTTTTTCAATTGAGAACCGTTTGTAAGAAAGTCACAATGTCTGTGTACACTGCACAGACAACACAAAAGCATCATACGCACTGAGCTAGAGAAAATGTGATGGAATGCTGCAGTGAAACAAAAAATTGGGAATGAAGTTTTGCTTAAGTAGCTTGAAGAGCTCTCCCAATATAGCAAATTTTCAGAAATTACATTTATGAATTCTGTTAAACAATTTTGTTTTAGAGAGAAAACGCATCTTAACTTCTTAACCTAAAACATATTATGGAAGATACCTACCCATGAAACAATAACAGATATTCTACTTTGCTTGTTGAATACAAGAATTCAAGTAGTGTGTACACTTATCTCAATTTATTGTTTACAAATAAAATACCAAAGTTGAACTGACAACATATCTATAATGTATTCCCTACTTACAATTTAGCATATATTCTTTAATGACATCAGAAGACTTTTTGAAAGTAGAAAAAAATCTACATGTTAAGTGTCAAAACAAGAATCCTGAGAATCTCAGCATAAAACTACAACCCCTTTTAGATCAGAAACATGAGCAGGGTTGAGTAACAAAAAACCTGTCTACTGAAACCACCTTTAGACATAAAATGGTTTGCGGAAATGTAGGCTTTGGCTTATCTGGAGGAGAGGAAGCAGGGAATGTAACCAAAATAAGAGCAGTTTATGGACAATTTCAACTACCTGGACAAATTCAAAAAAACTGTATGGTGTTGAAAGAGGAAGATCTACTTTTGTCTTCTGATATATATATAAAAAACAACAATGATTTTCATTACTACAGGGAAAGGAAACTAAGAAATGTAATATAGCTTCTGTTTATCCAGTTTTACTCCTTGTGTGTTTCTGGGGAAAAAAAAAGCACATAATTGTGTTTTCTTTTTTTTAACTAGTAAATACAATACTTTTTAGTCCCACAAAACCAAACTTGCTTCGCTTCTCAGTACTAATTGTTAGGGTTCTCTTATGTATGTCCCAGCTTGAAAAAGTTAAACACACTTATAGTTTCTCTGCAGAAATCATATTTCACATTTAATGTGTCAAGTGTAATGCAACCAATCCTTCCTAAAAATGATCATGTTTACATATTTTACAATATTAACACTATCAGTAAATATAAAAAATAGGAAGTATCTTACCCATGAATAGGAATACTGAGAAGTCTTTCCATGTTAGAAAGAATTATTTTCATAGTCTCTGGATCGCGATTTGATCCCAATTCTGTTACTAAAAGAGATTTTGTAATGTCTGGAAAAGAAACAAAACCTCACTTTTCCAACAGTACAACTTACATAACAGTAATTAGCAGAGTTTACTTCATTGCTTTCTTACAAGACTGAATAAAAGTAAGGTATTTTAATATAAATATTACATATTTTGAATGTATAAAAATCTGTTCTTACATGGAAAATGGCAGGAAAAAATAAAATACAGCACACAAAGCATGATCTTGTTCAATTGTGCATATACATTAATCGATGTCATTAGTAAATAAAATTCTATTGCTATAAAAATTAGAACAGTCCCCACATCTCTAAAGGTCCCACTTTAAGAGTGGATTTTACTTTACATAGGGTAGTAAGTATGCAAGAGGGGTATTGATTTAAACCACTAGTTAACACCTGGAAGAAGTTGAATTGTTTGGTAGATTTGTTACAGACTCTAAAGAACAATCACAGACAGATTACAGACATACAGGGAATTAAAAACAAACAAACAAAAAACCACAACACACAGACACACAGGGAATAAAATCTTGAATTGCTGAGTCCTGATTTTGCAAAGATCACAAGCATGTTATATGCATCAAAGAGAACATACAACCCATGGCCAGAAAAAGCCTGTCTTTGCAAAATGAAACTATGAGCTAAGAAACAGGAATATATCCAGGTCTAAAACTGTTGATGCCTCATTTGCAAAATAAACGTAATTACTAGAAATAGGCTACTCAGTTCAGCTTACCTTCTTGGCCTGAAACTTGAAGTTTTTGACCATTGCAAAATGCACCTTTTCCTTTTCTGGCAGTATACATCTTGTCTTCTATACAACTATACACAATTCCAAACTCTATCTGCAAGAAAAAGTAAAGACACCTTGAGGTTTTTTCCCTTTCTTCCTATTTACTGTGAAAATACAGATCTTAGTTATAACTAGCAACAAAGAATTAATCTGGTTTTGATTGATTAGATATTAAGTAATAAAAAGTATACCTTTTTGTTTACAACAAAGCCAATTGAAACTGCCACAAATGGAAACCTACAAAACAAAACATTTCACTAATTTATGGGGAGATACTATGCTTCTTTCATTACCACGTTTACTCTTAATAAAAACAATGTTCAGTTAAATGTAATGTATATTTCAAAAAGAAACTTGGACTATATAGGAAATAGTAGTTTTCTGGAACTTGCACAACTTACTGTGAAAACAGACCCAACACCACCAATTACCATTTAAAATACAAACTTTTTCACTCACTGAAACTAAGCCTGTTACAGCTTAGGGACCGTCATCCCTGTTACAGCTGTTACTAGCTTAGGGACTGTCATTGTATAGCCGAAGAATACAAGCAAGCCTCTACGCTACTAACCTTTCTCAGAAGGAACAAGCTGGCCAAAACGGTCTCATCGAAAGAAGCAAGTCACCTCTCCCCCTACCTCCACTTTCTCCACCAAAGCAATGAGAAAGACAGATATTGAAGTGAGAAGGAAGAATGCAGGGGGAAGAGTGAAAGCAGTGGGAGTATATAGGACATGGTGGGCTGCATCTCAGTCTAAGTGTTTAACAATCAACCAATTAATTTTTTTTTAATTATTATTTTTTACTTTTCAAAATTTGCAGTTCCAAAACATTTGCTTTAATTAGTATCTGCAAAAAATACAGACTTTTAAGTCTGTAAGTCCAGCATAATGCATTCTTTTCTTACAGCTTTTTGAACATGTTATTTAGCAGGATTCAGCAGCTGTTTAAAGCCGTGGGGCATATAGCGGCAGTCATTTCAAAATTGGAATCAAGTATGCTCAGAAAAGCTCATCAGGGCCAAAATCTATCATGTTTCAAAGACAGAAGCAATAGGCAGTCAGCATGAAACTGAAAGTCACTGAAAGTCCCCTCCTCACCCTGGTGCAAAATACCACTAGACAATCACTGGTGATACTCTTCTTTCTTTCATGGTAGTGGCCCCTAGATCTCAGTGAATTTGAAATTTCTTAGAAATCAGCACTTGGAGCTGTTACCGCTTCTCACCAAAGCCTCTCTGAAGATGCTGCAACTCCTAATTCTGAGTCCTGTTGCTTTACTGTTAAAATCTGGCAACCTATCTTTGGCACCCATGCCAAGGGTGCTGCCTCCTACTATATAGTATGGGCCTCTCATGGAACAACTGCTGTTGGTTACACAGTAAGACTATTATAATACTTACAGAAATACTAAAATGATTACAAAACCTGCCCAATGGCTCTCAATAAATGCAAATAACAATTTGTAACTATTAACAAGTTCATAGTATCTCTTTTAAAGCAATTTAAAAGAGAAAACCCTTACTTTCATGGAAGTGGAGAAAGAAAAAAGGTAATCAGTTGAAGTTGCTAACATAAAAAAAATGAAAGGTGGACCTGTGTACGAAGTTGGTAGTTCCGTCAATAGGGTCTAGAATCCATGTGGGGTTATCTGTCAAAATGCTGCCCTCTCCAGCTGCAACAGATTCTTCTCCAATGAAGCTAGAGTAACAAACACATTTAAAAGATACAAAGAAATTGTTTAGAAGGTCTGAATTACAATACTGTCTTTGAAATTAAAATTCTTTAAGTGAGATGTAGGGTTTTGTACCATCAGTGATCATAAGGAAAAAGTTGAGAAATACACAATTTATCTGGAAAGCGCCAACCACATCTGACCAAACTTGCAGCAACATTTATAATGTCAGAGATAAGCACAATATGTGGGGAAAAGAACTTTATGTAATTAACTTTACATTTTTAACATTTAAGTTTTCATCATTTTTTTCCAATATCAGCATCATCAAATTTTAGTCAGAATATTTGTAGCTATTTACACCTTTCAGTTTATTTGTTCTATAAAACACTACTTTTTAGCTTGTGTTTTAACTGAAGAAAGCCTTTGTGGTCATATGCATCTGGTTAGACCACTGCAGTTAACTGTTAAATTTGTAGTCTGATTTCAACCCAAATATGACAGAAAGTTGTTAGCCTCAAAACTGTTTAGTTTTACAAGCATTACAAAAATGGTAACACGGTAAAGGGATGAAATCCAAACCAGAGCTCCTCCTGAAGAAGACGGCAGAGTGCATGCACAGCGCCACAGGAACCCAAATTTCACAATTTTTGCTGCTCATGAAAGTATTTGTTTTGAACTGCAAAATTACTGGGATGAGCGTAAGTGGGTGGAATTCTCTTCTATGCCTTTTGCATGCTGTTAAATTTATCACGTATTACTCAACCTATGAAAAGTATGCATCAAAGACATGCTTTCCTCCACAAACATGTAAAATGAGAAGGACTGCTGAGAGTAAACAAATAAGGTCCCTTTAATATTGATTAGGAGTTTTATTAACTAGGGAAGTGAAGAAGATTGCTCAGAAAGAAACACCATGTTTCCAAAAAGCAGCAGATCTTCACAGAGAGAAGAGACTGAATAGTTATTTAGGTGGATGAGTAATCAATGAGAAAGAAATTCAACACCAGTATGCCTAATGTGGTATCAATTACCTAATATAAGAAGAAGCCAAAATATTCTAAAATGTTTATCAATGTCACAGAAACTGGTATTTCAAGGTCATTCCGTAAGTCTGTATGCTTACACTAACTTGGTCAGGTTACTGACATCTTGCATCACCTCAGTTGTTCCAATTCTACACATATTTATTACATTTCACATATACAGCTACAATAAGAAAATCTCCAAGACAACGCAAGAAAAATTAGCAAACTCACTTTAAGGAAACTGTATTAAACTTGAGCCATTATGTCAAAATGGGAAAGAAAGTCCCATATAAATAAAAGTAAGTAAAATACATACAATTCACCCTTCAAGAATAAATTTCTTTCAGGGGAGAGGAGGGGCTGGAGGAGGGAAAAAAAAAGGGAAAAGCAATAAAAAAAAAAAAAAAATCAGTATTTCGTATGACAGACTTTCAGTTATGCAGAATCAGAAGATCCTGTCTTCTTTTAACAATATTTGATGTTCTTAAACTGTATGAGATTTGCCAAAGGCACACTCTGTACCATGGGACCCATCCAGCATAGACAGCTAGTTTCAACAGCCAACGGCAGACAAGAAATTTGGGTTCCGGGTATCTCGAGGCCACCTTTGATTCTCCAACACAAGTAACTATTAATAATAATAGTTATAA